TGGGTTTCACGGTTGTCTTAGAAAAACAGACTAGTGAAGTCTTTCACCTGTGCCCATTTGATTCTGAAAGAGCAAAACATTGTTTCTAATTGTCGAGACCAGCTGAGAAAAGCTTTAATTGTATAGAATGCCGAAATATATTAATCCTTAATTGAAGAAGTAAATGACCTTGACTAGATCTCTTTTCCCCCCCCCCCCCCCATGTAAACCACCACCAAACTGGTTTATCAGAAAAGTTGCCCAATTATCGTTAGACTTTTCTCATTGGCCATTTGCGTGCAGTTTATGCAGCTGCTTCAGGCTGGGGGTTGAGGGAGCTGTGGAGGAAGTCTATCAACTTTAAACCCTAGTTAATCTAATCATGCATATCTAAAATATATTTTTTTATGGCCATAGAATAAATTAACATGCAAAAGCAAAGTAGAAGGCTTTCTGTTCTTGTGCTTCAATTCTGAAAGTCACTGACTTATGTCAAAAACCAACATAAGAACAAGGTGGGGTTGCTAATATTAATTCGCTGTTGGCTTTGCTTGGTTCTTTTCTCTTCTACGTAGTACTAGTATTGTCTTTCTCCTTTTAAATGTAATTGTCAGCTTTGAAGTAAAAACTGGTGTGGTAAAAATCCGTATTTGGTTAGTTGTTTTTATAAATAAAATAAACAATAGAGGGATGATGGAGAAGGAGGACCTGTATGGAGTAATTTATGCGTGGAGAAATGCTTTACTAGATCCATAATCCCAGAACTATGGTAATTGGTGACCTCTGGTGACTAAAGCAGTTTGCTGCCTCTTTTGGTAGGTTATTCATGTTGACTGGGTGTGATCACCTCCTGATATACCTCAAAGCATTCCTGCACCGGAAGAGGGTAGTCAATGACTGGATTCTTCAGGATGAAAATGCCTGGGCAAGACAAAAGCTGCCAGAAAAGCTCTACCGACTTCTGCAGTTTGAGACCAAAATCTCCAAAGGTAAATCCAGCTTTCCAATGTACTGTGTAGGCTCTCATGTAATTAACAGTTAAAACACACTTTAAATCTCAATGTGGCACTTAATTAAGCTTATCTGAGGATCTCATCCTTGAAGGAAGAAGCCAGCAGCATGGTCCCACAACGCTCCATTGTATTATAGTGAATTTTAAAGTTCACAGTAAAGCCCTTCTCAAACTCCGGATGGTTCATGTGCAGATATGGCAAACTGTGGATCATGGGGGTACAGAAACTACCCAAGTCTGCAAATCCTCATTTTATGGGTCTACAAAACCCAGGTGGATTTTGTTGTGGTTGAATTCCAGAGTATTTCATCTGGACTGCTCTGATGACAGGGCTATTCATCCTTTATAACTGGAAGAGTCTTCAAGGCTCTAGCGAGCTCTAAGTCTTTATCTATCCAAATACTCCTAGAGTGAAGTGCTTCTTTTCACACTATAAAACATGAGATTTACTCTCCCGTCTTGAGACTGTAGTTGCTGACAATGCTCTTAAGTGGATGAATCTTAACTTATTGATTGCTGACACTTTCTCTAGGACGTTTTAATTCTAATGATTTGGTTAAGTCTTGATACCCAGTATTGAATTTTGGGCTTGCTATTCAGTACTGAAGTTGCTGTTTCTGCATATCTGGTATAAATTGAGATGGCTCAATTTCCTTCAAATCCATTTAGTAATT